CCTACGGCCCCGTCGCCTACCTGCGGCCCCGGCCTCGTCGCCTACTTGCAGCCCCGGCCCCGTCGCCTACCTGCGGCCCCGGCCTTGTCGCCTTCCTGCGGCCCCGGCCCTGTCTCCTACCTGCGGCCCTAAGGCCTCGTCGCATACTTGCGGCCCCGGCCCCGTCGCCTACCTGCGGCCCCGTCGCCTACCTGTGGCCCCGTCGCCTACCTGCGGCCCCGTCGCCTACCTGCGGCCCCGGCCCCGTCGCCTTCCTACGGCCCCGGCCCCGTCTCCTACCTGCGGCCCTAAGGCCTCGTCGCCTACTTGCGGCCCCGGCCCCGTCGCCTACCTGCGGCCCCGTCGCCTACCTGCGGCCCCGTCGCCTACCTACGGCCCCGTCGCCTACCTGCGGCCCCGGCCCCGTCACCTACCTGCGGCCTCTGGCCCCTGTCGCCTACCTGCGGCCCCTGGCCCCTGTCGCCTACCTGCGGCCCCGGCCTTGTCGCCTACCTACGGCCTCGTCGCCACTTGCGGCCCCGCCCACCCTTGCGGCCCCGTCGCCCACTTCGGCCCCGATGCCACCTACGGCCCCGCCCACTTGCGGCCCCGACCCCGCCCCGGCCATGCCCCGTCGCCAGCCGCGGCACACCGGGGGCACGTGCACCGCCCCCCCCCCCCCCCCCTTTTCCCGTCACCCGTCACGGCTCCTTCGGGGGCCGCGGGCGACCTGAAAGGGGGGGGCAGGTGTCGCCCCCTCTGCCGCCTGCTTTGGCGCCCGGGGAGGCCGTGCGTCGGCCCCCCCCCCCCCCCCCCCCTCCTCCTTTAGTTCCCACTACTGCAGCTGCCGCTGGGGGGGAGGGTGGGAGGGTGTGAGGGTGTGGGGGAGCCGGGGGAGTGGCACTGGGGTGGCGGGTGTGAGACCAACCAGCACCCGTCCCTCCACCTCTCCTCTCTTCCCCCCCTCTGCTGCTCCTGCAGCAGTGTGTGGGGGAGGGGGAGGGGGAGGGGGAGGGTGAGGGGATGGAGGGGGTGACCAACCAGAGCCTACCACCTCCTCTCCTCTCTCTCCCTCTCTCTCTCCTCCTCCTTGCCTGCCCTCTCCCGTTCTGCTGCGCACTCTGACTGGTGTACCCCTTCAGGGGGCGATAATTACACTTCTTCCCACAAGCAATTATGGGGGCGTGTCAAAGTTATTTTATGTAACTGCTTGTGGCTTAGGTGTAGTGTATTTATCTTGTCTTCTGTTCGGTGGTGCACCTCTAGTTTCTTTACTATATGTTGTATCTCTTTGCTGTTATTGAACCCTCATTCTCTCGACTCTTTTCTCCTTTTCAACTTTCTCGAACTCAACTCATTTGATCTAACTAGCTATGGCTCCTAAGCCTTGCTAGAATTTTAACACATAAGCAGCATTATAGTTTGACAAGACCATAGAGCAGTTAATTCGCGCCACGTGTGACGACTCTGCAGCATGTGAACAACAATTACCACTGATTGAGTTTGCCTACAACAATTCTCAGAATCCCAACCACTAGACCATTGGGATAAAAGGGCTTGTTTCAGTAGCGGGTCAGTGCGCCCATAACCCCCCAGGCAAATGTGCCTGTAACCCTTCCCTAGGATCGATCGGGGATCACCAGTGGACCTCTGACACCCCCCCGCACTGGGATGCCCGAAGTGCATACACCGGGATTCGAACCCGAGACCTTCGCTCTGATACCATCTCAGAATCCCAACCACTAGACCATTGGGATAAAAGGGCTTGTTTCAGTAGCGGGTCAGTGCGCCCATAACCCCCCAGGCAAATGTGCCTGTAACCCTTCCCTAGGATCGATCGGGGATCACCAGTGGACCTCTGACAACAATACCACATCAGCCAAGACACAACAGTCACCGTTCTACCTGGAGTAAGGACAGACACGCCATATCATCGAGCCCGAACAACCCGCCACCGCTCGCTCAACATTTCGTCGAAATACTGCAAGTTGCCCAAACCCGCGCAACAGAGGCAATTGAGAAAGCAAAAAGCAACGCCTACCGGTATTTCCACCAACAGCCCGTCAGGTACCAGTTAGGAAACTACGTGCTGCTTGACACTCGGAAACTTCGACTGTTCGTCCTGCTGAAATTACAACCCCGCGACAATGGCCCGTTTCAAATTATCCACGTGTTCACCCCCGTCGTTTCGCACCTCCTGCTACCCGCCGACTGGTACAACCCGCCATTCTAAGTCCGCATGTTCCGTCCGTACATCCCAACCACCAGTCAACAGCCACAACACCGACCAACGTAAATGATTGCATTGGAGACCATATTCGAAGGTGAGAATTTTTCTGTGTAATTAGATTCAAGACCCTCACGGATCTCGGAGGATTGAATCTTCGCCCGCTTGAAGGATCGCACCCCCACGGAAGACAGCTGGGTGCCCCTGGGCAACATTAAAATACACCCTGCCCTAAAGTACTTGTGAAGCCGGGGAGTACGTAGATGCGCTTACTTAGCGGAATGGCTTATTGGGGAGAGGGGGTAGAATACAGGTTCATTAATGCGCACCAACACAAGGAGTGCCACACCAAATCGTTCATCGCCCGTTACAGCCTAACAGTGTCGCTATTTTGCATGTCAAACCACTTAGTGTTGGACTTGGCCGAGTCGGCCTACGCTTTGAGACTGGCCCGAGCCTCGTTGCCATCATCGCACTAACTAGCTCGCAAGCCCGCTCAACCATTTGCTTCTTCTCCTAAGTACAATCCTTGCTCAATTCATCAATTGCACTCGTAACACATAGCTTTGTTACTGACTAGTAATAACTTGTGACAACTCTTCAGGTGTCATAACAACTATTTCTGGAGCTCAACCAGCCACTTATAATGAAGGAAACCGCAACCCAGCGTGCGCCGCCGAATGTGGTGCTTCCCGACGCACTTGCACACACCGCCACCAACCAAGCAAAACTAGGTTTGTGCTCACTGCACAGTGCTCGTGACGAGGTTTATGGTTGGGGGAACGGTCAGCACTGCACTCAACAGCAGCAGCAGCAGCAGCATCCCAAAGAAGTGTGGTCAGTGGTCACTGTATTCATGGCACAGTCTGTGTTCATGCAGAACTGTATCCACGATGACGTACGCTTGGTACAGCTGGTGGTGGCGAGTAACAGTGCAGTTGGAAGAAACGAAACGCCACGCTCTCGGACCCACCAAACCATTCGTGTCCGTGTGGCGCTGTCTGCACCACAAGGAACAAGTGCGTTTCATGACGTGGTGGCTCGTGGTTTTGGAGGGCAATAGAAACACCTCTTAAAACGCACAGCACCGTTCTGTATGTACACATACTTCCACCAAATACTGTTTTGAAAGTTGTCCCATATCCGACGTGTCGTTAGTGTACGCGAGCCGCTGTTCCTTACCTGAAGCAACCAGTCACTGACTGCGTTACAGTGCGGTTCGGTGGGAAGTCCATTCGCGGGTTACATCCTGACCGTTAGCACAAAATTGGTAGGGCAGGTGGTGGCATGGCGGAATTCGAGAACGGTTTCGTGAACGTCTGAGTAACCAGTCTCACACCGATGCCCGGCAAATGAAGCTGTCGCATGAGTGAGTGCGACATGTCGCCGAAGGGCGCCACTCTTCACGACCCAAATTGTGGGAGCCTGCGACAAACGAAGCAGCCTCTGTTTGAACTTCGGGCGAAGACCCAAGCAGCAGGACAGAAGCTTCAGTACGGAACGGAAGCCGTGTGAGACGGACAACACGACAGCCATTGGCTCTCATCAGGCTGCCAGAAGTGAACCTGCCGCTGAAATGACGGAGGCTCATGTCATGAGAGTGGGCTGTTCTGTCGAAGCATTCTCTTGAACTGAGAGCCAATGAGAGCGCTAGTACGGATTGATTCTAGGATTTCCTTTCTAAGAAAATAATTATGTTCGCGCTATTTGATCGCCTCGTCGCTGCTCAGGCCGGCACCTATCGCGAGAGTGTGAGGAACGCACAGGTATACGTTTCGAGTCGGCCATGGCAAATACGGACAACTCGCTGTCGCAACTAAAGAAGTTCCACGTACCATTCTCAATACATTAGCTTCAATTACTGTTTGTGACTCGGTGATTGAACACGACTCCGTTCGGTAATTACTCCTGACAGCAAAATTTGATCAACATTATACACCACTAACTCGGTTCGATATTTATCATGGAATCCTACTCGGAGAAGCGGCACGCGTACAGACGACGGTATCTGCCTTGGTATTGCCGACCGATGCGGCTAAGCGAAGAGGACTTAGAGCTTGGGGAGATGGAGGAGGAGGAGAGGGAGGAGGAGGAGCGGCGGCGACACGAGGAGAAGTTACAGATGATCATGGCCGCGAAACCCGTCAAATGGACTACATACGCGATATTGGTCCGTTCCGTTTCCTGTGCAATTGGTCTCACAGAGCTCTCGCTTGATCATGAAACGCTAGAAATCTTAACGCGTCGTTCGCGATTGCATTTGCTCTTCACGCCAAGCCTCCCGCCGTTCTAGTGCCACTTATTGCCACGCACAGCCGCTTCGTCTGGTGATTAGCTCAGTCAGCTTGAGAGTTCTTCGAAATGTCATTTTCTTTTGGGGGGATTCTGAAAATTACGCGCACGAGACCTAGGTCACTCAGCGATCGCGATCTCGAGTTCTGTGCCACGTCAGGTACCTGTCGCGCCGCGGCTCGAGACCGAGCCTGTCGTACTTAGAGGCGTCGTAGTAGCAGTCGCCGTCAGTCCGGAATGGGTCCAAGCACTGACGGGATGGCATGGCGTGGCGTTGCGTATAGCCATTGTAGTGACTCTCGGCGAGATTGGCGTCATTTTCTTATAAGAGGCAACGCAGCTCACCTAAGGTTCTCAGAATGACAGCGCGTCGGGCTTGGCGGTTACATATTTCGCCAAAGTAGACGATGTTTCGCACCTCGTGGTGTGCCCGTGCGGAGCGCGTAGAAGGGGTCGTCAGCGCGGCAAACGCCTTGCTGCCACGTGGCTTCTTACGTGCGTGATGTTCTCTAGGGTTTCACTAAAGCGCGACTCGTTTAGATTGTTCCAAGTTCAACCTTACATAGGAGATAATTCCAACCGTTCGCTTCCTTTTACTCTACTCCACCATCCCCCCTCGCCTCCCCGTCCCCCCGTCCCACCCTTGCGGTCCTTGCACGGACTCAAACCGTCCGCGCCACAGGCTGCAGCGTTTTCCGCGCTGGTGCTGCTGGCGGTGCTGTGCTGGGCGTTCATCTCCGCCATGCAGTCCCCGGACAACTCCCTCCCCCTCCACCTGCGCACACAACGCCTAGACGCCGCCGCGCTCGCCGTTCTCTCCATCCAACAGGTAACTGCACACAATATGCCTCCTAGCCTGGGACTTGGTTAACCGCCCTGCACTCCCTCCCCCTCCGCCTGTGCGCCCAACGCCCCGCTGCTCTCGCCGCTATTTGCTCAGCATGCCTCCTAGCGTGGGACCTGGGTAACCGTGTTCTGAGACGTCTCAAAACAGTATCCCTCGTAGCCCGAGACCGGGGTAGCCGCTCTTCCACTCCCTCCCCTTCCACCTGCGCATTCAACACCTCACCGTTCTCTCTATCCACCAAATGACAGACAAAAACCATAAGGTCATCAGCATAACCTTCTGGGTAATGCTCCTCTGCCATTCACATCCATAAAAGCCCCTCCCCCCCTCTCCGTTCTCTCTCCCCCTCCTCATCTCCCAACCCCGCCCTTCCACTCGTCGTCCCCTTGACCCCCCTTCCTCTAGAATCCTTCCTCTGTGTGCCCAATCAGTTCGTTGCCCTAATCGGGATCCCTTCCCCCCTTTGCTCATCCGCCCATCCATCCCCGGGCCCCAGTGTGCCTTCATTTCCTCCCTTTCTCCCTTTCCTTCGTTTTCCCCCTCTCCTCCCGTTTTCCCCACTTTCCCCCCCTTCCCCCCCATCTCCCTGCTCCTGCCTTCCCGCATTCAACAGAGGTTGCAATACGCGGCAGTGGCGCAGGCAATGGCGCTGACGTCAGCGCTGAACGCCGTGACCAGAAGCAACGTCAGCACTGGTGGCACACAGAGCAGCAGAAACAACCTAACAAGCATTCTAGCACACGCCCAGGAGGTGCGAACTACGTTACTGCCATAACCTCATTGTGGACAACATTATCTTTTGAATTCCCAGTATCCCTCCTCCACCTCCCCCACACAGTCCAATTCGAAACCACCCCTCCTCTCCTTCCCCCTCCCCCACCTCCCCACAAATCCCTTTCTGCTCTCCCTACACACATGGCTTTCTCCCACGAGAGTTCCTGCTCCATCTTATCTTCACCGTTCGTTCCCTTCCACGCACCTTATCTCATCTCTGGAACTCCGTCCAGTTCTTTCTCTCACCATATTTCCCCATCGTCCCCTCTACCACCACCATCTCCATGCCCCTCCCTCCCGCTCCCACCCAACCGCTCCTCCGTCCCCTCTCCCCTTACCTCTGCAGGCCCTGCTGGTCACGTCCTTCCCCTTCATTCGGCCTGATCCGTCTCTCCACATCGCCACATTCGTTGCCCCAGACAGCTCTCTTACCGGCTACCTGCGCCCCTCGCTAGGTCCCTCTCACAGTAGCGAGAGCAGCAGTAGTGATAAAGATAGAGGCAGCAGTATGGGCAACATTGACAGCAGCAACAGCCTCGTTGCTGCTCCTCTGTACCGCATCCGATCGCCAATCAACCTGCCCCTCGCTCCTCCAGATGCTGCTGTAGGAACCAGCCCAGGCCTTGGGGCGGAACGGAGCTTGGGAAGCAGCAACAGCAACGGCAACAGTAACCGCAACAGCAACCGGCCAACTGTGACTGTCTCTGACCCCACACTTACCCTCTCCAACGCCCCGTCTGGGGTGCCTTCGAGACGGCTTGCTGTCTCGTCTGCCATCTCCACCGCACCGCACCATTCCGAGTTTCATAGACCGCAAGGGGCGAGAAACTCTGCTGGTAGTAAGGTACCAGGCAATGCTGCAGCAGAGCAGCAGACCAGTGCTGCATCGGCTGCTGCTGCTGCTGCTGCTGTCTCAACCCAGAGTAGAGGCACTGTACGCAGCAGCCACAGCAGCAGATCCAGCTTTATCCCAAGCTCGGGCCCAGCCTCAGTTTCAGCCTCGGTAGCAGCAGTAACAGTAGCAGCAGCCACCGTCCCACCTTCTCCTTGCACACTTTTACCTTACATTCTAGAGGGGACTTTTCTAAACGGATCATTAGTGAATCAGTCTGCAGTGAGTACGGCCATGCTGCCTGACCTGCGCACTGTACCAGGCTACAGTGCCTCTCTCTCGCTACAATCAGGCTCCTTCATAGACACATTCAATACAGCACTCCCTGCTGATTGCCCGCCCTCAGATAAAGCTCTCCCTCCTGAGTGGCCTTTGGCCTTTTTAGCAGCGCTCTCTCCCGTTTTTCTGGGTGGTAGTGCCAGCTCAGCAAGTGCCACGTCAGTGGGTGCTAGCCTGGCAGCTGTATCCCTTGCTGACGTGGCAGCAGCATGGGCTGGCATCAGCATCAACTCTGGCAGCAGGCCAGCCAGTCCTGAAGAAACCCAGAAGCTTCCTTCGCGTCTGCTGCTTGTTTCAGCCACTGGAGGGCTTTTGCTGTCCTCTTCTGGCGCAGCGGGTGGGCCCTTAGCACCCAATGATGTCATAGTGACGTCAGCAATGTCTGCGTTAGGGTTAGGCAAACCTGCTGAGTCAGCAGTGCCTGTGGTGGAAGCAGCTCCGGTTAACACGTCAGCAGCAGCGTTCAGCAGCGTAATGAGATCGTTACAGACAAATATCGCCGGCCAGGAGTACTACGTTGACTCTCTTCCTCTTGTCTTCAGCACTGCTGCCAATTACGTGAGTCCACCACATGCCCTGGAGCTCTCTCCCTCCGCCCCGCCTCCCCTTCAATCCTTTTCCGCATGCATCTGCTCTCCCTCGCCACTCCTCTCTCCACCCCGTTACATCTAAACTGTCGTGTGCACCTCGCGTCCCTCTCACCCTCCCCTCCCCCACTCGCCTCCCCCGCTCTCCCCTTGCAGATCATTGTGTATGCATCAGCAGTGGCCCTGTATGAGACATCACCCCCAACCTCCACCAGTGTCTCATCCCCCACCCCTCCCCACCGTTCCCCATCCCTCCCCATCCCTCCCCATCCCTCCCCTCCCTCTGGGCAGACCATCGTGTATGCATCAGCAGTGACCCTGTACGAGACACCCCCCCCAACCTCCACAAAAATCGCCTCCCTCGTGCTGCTGCTGCTCTCCCTCGCTGCTCTGCTCGCCTGCGCGGTGCTGCTCGTCTCCGCCGTTTGCAGGCGCAGCGGCAACGTGTCTTTTCTGCAGGTTAGTGTCTAGATGGATAGGTGTGAATAGGGGTGAAGTGGGGTGCGGTGGGATGAAGTGGGGTGAAGTTGGGTGGAGTGGGGTGGAGTGGGGTGGAGTGGGGTGAAGTGGGGTGGAGTGGGGTGGAGTGGGGTGAAGTGGACAATTGAAGGTCAGGCTTCTATGCTGCTCTCCCTTGCTGCTCTGCTCGCCTGCGTGCTGCTTCTGGCCTTAGCTGTTTGCACGCGCAGCAGCAACATTGCTTTCCTGCAGGTAGGTATCTATCAACATGGGGGGAAAAGGTGAAGAGGGGTGAATAGGGTTGAAGAGGGGTGAAGTGGTAATGAAGAGGTAAAGATGAGGACTAGTTCCCATGAAGGTCAGGCCTCTCTGCTGCTCTCCCTCTCGGCTCTCTTCTCCTGCGCGCTGCCGCTCGTCAATTACCTTTTCTCTCGTGCCTTGCATCTCATTCCCTCTCTTCCACGCCCTTCCCCCCACGCCCTCTCCTCTGTGGTGCGATGGCAGGACGAGGTGCAGAGGCAGATGATGCTCACCAAGAGGGCAGAAACTTAGGGCTCCTAAAAGATTATCCCACACCCTCTCTCTCCCATACCCCCTCCTCTGTGGTTTGGTTGCAGGATGAGGTGCAGAGGCAGATGATGCTCACCAAGAGGGCAGAAACGAGGTCCCAGACCAAGGTAACGGTGATGGGTGGTGGTGATGGGTGGTGGTGGTGATGGGTGGTGGTGATGGGTGGTGGTGATGGGTGGTGGGGATGTACGGTGGTGATGGACGGTGGCAACAGACAGTTGTGGGGATGGTAACGAGATGTCTCAGGTAGCACTCATGCTCCTGATTGTAGCATTCGTGTTGGCTTAATCTGTGCCTGCTGGGCTGCTGCTATTTCATCCCTCAGCTCAGCCCCCCTGCCCCTAAACCTTCTCTCCCCCTTGTTTCCTCCCCTCAGAGCGCCTTCCTAACCAGCCGAGTCACGAGCTGCGCACACCCATGGCGGGCATCCTGGGGCTGCTGGACCTGGTGCTTGCTTTGTTTGCTCTGTGCCGGATTCACTGCTGCTCTCTCATCCCTCTGTGCCTCTGCCCCTCTCTCCCTCCACGTCCCCTGTGCCCTCCTTACCCCTTTCCCCTCCCCGCTCAGAGCGCCTTCCTAGCCAGCATGAGTCACGAGCTGCGCACACCCATGGCGGTCATCCTGGGGCTGCTGGACCTGGTGCTTGGACTCACTCCCCTCCTCACCCACCCCAATCCCTCTCCACCCCACTGCCCACGCTATATCCTCAGAGCGCCTTCCTAGCCAGCATGAGCCACGAGCTGCGCACACCCATGGCGGCCATCCTGGGCCTGCTGGACCTGGTGCTGTGCGAGGACCTGCTGCCCGAGGTGCATGTGAACGTGCAGCAGATCAAACTGGCGGCCACGGCCCTGCTAGGCCTGCTCAACTCGATTCTCGATCTTAGCAAGGTCAGTGTGCCTGCGCTGTAGGGTCTGTAACAACAAGAAAGTAGCGCGTGTATGTGCACCTGGTGTTGTGTGAAGACCTGCTGCCCGAGGTGCATGTGTGCGTGCTTGCGTGCGTGCGTGCGGGTGTGTGTGTGCGTGGGTGCCCGCGTGTTAAATAATTCCCAAACCAACCTTCCGTGTGTGTGCACTATGTTGGTGTACGGGATGGAGTACGAGCAGGTGGAAGCAGGCAAGCTGGTGCTGGAGTGAGTTGTTGTCCGTGTGTCAAGGCATATCAATGACTCAGTCCGTGGGGGTGTACACTGTGTGTGTGGTGCACGTGCATGCATGCAGGTGGAAGCAGGCAAGCTGGTGCTGGAGTGTGTCGACTTTGACATCCGCAAAGACCTCGAACTTATCGTGGAGATATTTTCCGTGCAGGTGAGATAATATTGGCAAGTGTGACTCAATAATATCAGACGCGTAGGTTGAAATTATACGCGTTTGAAGATAATGCTACAGGTAATGGTGCACATGCGCTGGTCACGGTCTGCTATCTGAGAGTGTTACTGCATACTTGCCTTTTCAGATTAGTAAAAATAGTTCGCTCTTAGTAGGCTTGCTGCGGATCAAAACCAAGTAATTTCAGCTATCTGAGAGTGTCCCTGCATACTCGTTCTTTGCTTCAGTATCACCCCGTTGACGCACACACGCTCCCCCTACCCCTCCCCCTCCCCCTCCGTCCCCTCTCCCCCTCTTCCCCTCTTTTCTCCCCAGGCTTTAACAAAAGGCACGGAGATCTCTCTAGACCTTTCAGATGATTTAACCCGCATGGTGCGGGGCGACCCGCACCGCGTACGGCAGGTGTTCAACAACCTGCTCTCCAACTCCATCAAGTTCACCCCCAATGGCCACATCGTCATCCGCGCCTGGAACCGCGCTGCTCATGGTCAGCAGCATGGGCAGCAGTACGGGCAGCAGCAGCAGCATGGGCAGTTGCAGGGGCAGCAGCACGGGCAGTTGGGATGGGCGGAAGGGGAGCGGGTGGCGCTGCAAGGGGGAGGGTCAGGGGCGATGGAGGGGAGTCAGCACGGGGGAGGGGAACCGGGCGGGGGGGAGGAGAAGGAGAGGGGGAAGGGGAAGGTGGAGCTGGTGTTTGAGCTGGAGGATACGGGGTGTGGTGTGCCCAAGGACAAGAGGGAGGCGATCTTTGAGACGTACGGGCAGGCAGACCAGGCGCATGGGCGGATCGGCACGGGGCTGGGACTGGCCATCGTGCGATCACTGGTGAGGCCTGGGGCCTGGGTTCAGGGTTTGGCGTTAGGGTTTGGCGTTAGGGTATGGTGTTGGAGAGTGGTGTTGGAGAGTGGTATTGGAGATTGGTGTTGGAGAGTGGTGTTGGAGATTGGTGTTGGAGAGTGGTGTTGGAGATTGGTGTTGGAGAGTGGTGTTGGAGATTGGTGTTTGCATGGGGGAAGGGGAAGGCACACTGACAGGTTGGCACGGGCCTGGGGGCTGGTGCAATCTGTCAGTTAAATTCAACCTAGCCCCACCTCCCTCATTTTTCTCTTGTTCCCCTGCCCTCCCCCTCACAGGTGGAGATGATGGGGGGCAAGATAGCCGTAGTCGACAAGCCCATTGTCGGCCCCGGGTCACTCTTCCGCTCCAACCTCTTGCTCTCCCCTGCCTCTCTCCCGTCTCCCTCCCTTCTTCCCTCCGTCTCTGTCCTGTCTCCCTCTCTCCTCGCAGGTGGAGATGATGGGGGGCAAGATAGCCGTAGTGGACAAGCCCACGGCCGGTCCAGGCTCTCTGTTCCGCTTCAACCTCTCGCTGGACTGCCCCGACCCCGCAGCAGCAGCCGTGCGCGTGGGGGGCGAGGCGGAGGAACAGGAGAAGGAGAGCTGGCGGCTGGAGGCGCCTCTGATGCGCGCGCTGTGGGACGGGGACGTGCTGCTGGTGATGGGCGCGTGCCCGGGGAGGGAGGTGGCGGGGAAGTGGTTAAGGCAGCGAGGGCTGACGGTGGTGGAGGTGGGCGCGTGGGAAGAAATGGTCGACCGCATTCGCCAGGTGGGTGGGTGGGCGGGTGGGTGGTTTGAGTTTGCGCTGGTGTGTGGGTGTTGCTGGGATGGGGTGTGCATGGGGTAACCGTGCTGGGGTTGATTTTTTAGGCGCCTCAATAACCGTGCTGGGGTTGATTTTTTAGGCGCCTCAATAACCGTGCTGGGGTTGATTGTTTAGGCGCCTCAATAACCGTGCTGGGGTTGATTTTTTAGGCGCCTCAATAGCCGTGCTGGGGTTGATTTTTTAGGCGCCTCAATAACCGTGCTGGGGTCAATTTTTGAGGCGCCTCAATAACCGTGCTGGGGTTGAGGCAGAGAGGGTGAACTGTGGTGGAGGTGGGCGCGTGGGAGGAGATGGTCGACCGCATTCGCCAGATGGGTACACAGAAACAGTCCTCTTGTCCCGGACATCCTTCTTTGTGGACATTTGACCCTCGTCTCCTCTTTCCTTTCAGGTATCTATAAAGAAAGACCATATTTTCTTGTTCCAACCCTCCTGCCCTGCTTTCCCTGCCTCCCTCTCGCTTCTCACCACACCCGTTTCCCTCCTCTCCCAACGCAGGTAGCAACAGCAGCGGAGGAGAAGGCAAGGGCAACGGAGGCAGCATACAAGCGCATGCGGATGGACAACCCGTTGCGTTCCATCCCCTATTATTTCCCCTCCCCTTCCCCTTGTCCCAACTTCCCCCTCTCCCCCTCTCGCCTGCCTTCCTCCCCCAATGCAGGTAGCAACAGCAGCGGAGGAGAAGGCAAGGGCAACGGAGGCAGCATACGAGCGCATGAGGATGGACGACCCGTTGCTGCTCCTCCCATCCTTCCCCAACGCCAACCCTAACCCTAACCCTAATTCTGACTCCACTGCCGCCCAGCCCCTAAGCTCTGCCGATGCTTTTGCCGCCCTGCAAAGGTTCGGAGATCCGCCAGCAGCGGCAGCAGGTTCGGGAGAAGCAGGGAAGGAAGGTTCGGGACCAGGTTCGGCGGCGCCCTGGCTGAGGGTTGGGGGTCTGGGGGCAGGGGGAGGGGGAGGGGGAGGAGGGTTGGGAGGGGGGCTGCGCAGGCAAACCAGTCTGGGGGTGGCTCTCGGGGGAGGGGGGGGATTAGGGGGAGCGTTGGGGGGAGGTTTGGGGGGAGGAGGGGTGGATCTGGAAAGCTTTAAGAAGGGTATCCTGTCGCTGGGCCTCAGGGACGCTGGTGGCAGTGCTGGGTCTCTGCTCTCGGCAGGTAGTGGGGGAGGTGGAACTGGGGGAGGTGGAGGAGGAGGGGGAGGAGGAGCGGGGGGAGCGGGAGGGAGTGGTGATGGCATGAGGAATGGGTTCGGGAGTGAGATATCAGGAGCAGGGGTGGAGGCAGGGGGGAGGATACCTGGAGTGGCTTCTGTAGAGGCAGCAGCAGGAGGAGGAGCAACAGCAACAGGTGAGGCAACAGCAGGAGGAGGAGCAGCGGGGGAGAAGGGCAGCAGCAGCAGTAGTGTGAGTGGGATCCGCAGTGCAGGCAGCTCTCCTCTGCGGTTAGCGCGCATAGCCAGTGTGAGCAGCGGGCACAGGCGACAGAGCAGCCTGGAGCGAATCGGAGCACTCTTTGGCGGCGCAGGGGGGGGACCAGGGGGCGGGGGAGAAAAAGATGCAGGAGGGGTAGGGGTGGCTGGATGGGAGGCGCCTGGTAAGAGTGGTTTAGCCAAGGAAGGGATGGGAGGTGGAGGGGCAGGAGGGGGAGCAGGAGGGGGAGCAGGAGGGGGAGCAGGAGGGGGAGCAGGAGGGGGGCCAGGAGGGGGGCCAAGGAGAGGACTGGAAAGAACAGGGAGTTTGCAGTCTGATAAGAAGGTTCTAGGAGGGGGAGGAGCAGCAGGGGGCGGTGCTGGTGGTGGGCTGTGGAAGCAAGGAAGCCTGACTCTTGGGAAGGTGTTTCGGCGGGGCAGTGGGGGCAGTGATGCGAGCTCTGGTGGGGCTGGTGGGGGTGTGGGCAGCAGCGGCGGCAGCGGGAGTAGTAGCAGCACGAGCGTGTGGCGGCAGAGCAGCATGGAAGGGCTTTTCTCGAATGCGTTTTCGGCCGGAATGCGCAACGACCGGAAAAGCAGCGGGTTTTCGAGCAAGAACAGCGATGGCGAGGATATCAGCAATCACGGAAATAATACTAATAATGGTGATAATAATAGTAATCATGGGCAAAAACAGGCTACTGTAGCACTCGTGGTAGTGGATACGTGTATGCTTCCGGGTCTGACGTTACCGTTACCGTCAGACAACAAGCAGCCTGGTGATTGGTCGGCTCAGAACCCGCCGCCCCTGCCGTCGTCTGCTGCTGCTGCTGCCGCTGCCACTGCTGCTTCGGCAGCAGCAGGGCAGGCAGAGGCTCTAGGCACAGCCGCTGCTGCAACTACAGGGGCGGGAGGGGTGGGCAGCGGAGGAGGAGCAGGAGGGGGGAGCGGAGCAGGTGGAACAGCGGCAGGGGGAGCAGCAGGGGCGGGGGGAGGGGCAGGGGCAGGAGCAGAGGCGGACCTAGGTCCTCTAAACGAGCTGCTAGGGCTACTGGAGATCTGCAGGGCGGGTGGGGGCAACAGCTCTCTGCCTGTCATGTGGTTGGTTGCTGCTAACACGCCTGCCTCTGTGCGTGAGCGGTTGAGAGCGGCCGGGTGCGATACTATTGTGTCGAAGCCCCTGCATCCGACTAGAATGGAGCAGCTGTTGAATCTGGCTATGGATATTAAGTATGGGATTGGGGGGAATGCGGAGGGGGGGGTGGGAGGGGAGCGAGGGGGTGAGGAAGGGGAGGAGAGAGGTGGGGATGGGGAGGGAGAGGGGGATGGTGGGGGAGGTGAGGGAGGTGGAGGAGGAGGGGTGTGGGGGGTTCTGGACGAGTTGGGGAAGGAGAAAGGGAGAGAGAGAGGGAGGGAGAAGGGAGGGAAGGGAGGAGGGAAGGAAGGGAAGGAGGGGAAGGGGCGCAAGAGTATAAATGTGAATGTGAGGATTCAGAGGTGTTTGAGTGCAGTGGATGAGGAGTTGAGTCATGCAGACGAGATGAGTAATGGGGATGAGTCCTGCCTCTCCACCCCTGTTGGGAGTTCTGAGTTTGACCTCACTACCCCGAGGTCTGGTGATGGGGCGTGGGAAGGGAGAGAGGGGAGGGACAGGAGGGATGGGAGAGACAGGAGGGAGGAGATGGGAGGGAGGGTAGGAAGAAATGGGGAAGAGGCGAGGGAGCAGAGGGATGATGAGAGTGATGGTGACGATGGGGAAAGAGGAGAAAGAGGGGATAGATGGGAGAGAGGGGAGCGAGGAGAAAGAAGAGAAGGAGGGGAGAGAGCAGAAAGAGTGGAGAGGAGAGAAAGAGGGGAGAGAGGGGAAAGAGCAGAAAGAGGAGAGAGAAGGGATGGCCAATATCGTTCGCAAAGGAGGAAGGAGGGTTCTGAGAGTGGTGATAGCGACAGATACGGCGAGGGAGCAGGGGACTCACGAGGGGCAGGAGGGGCAATCACACCCAGAACGCCCCGAAACCTTCTTGTGCCGTTCCCTCGCTCGGAATCCCGGGGGTCTCAAGACGGGAGCAAAGCGGGCGGGCAGGAGGAGCACAGACGCAGTTCTTTCCGAAAAGACTCGGTGGCTTCACTCTCACTCATCTCGCCTCACTCCCCCTCGTCTCTCTCCTCCTCCTCTTCTCCCTCCATGGATCGCTCTGCTAGTGGACGGCTCTTGCCGGCCATTGACTCGCTCTTCTCCCCTCGCAAACACTCGCAGTCGCATCGTGCCTCCGCCTCCTCGTCCTCTTCGTCTCATGCCAAGCGTAGTGGCAGCGGCAGTGGCAGCAGAAGCAGGGAGAGGAGCGGAGGGGGTGCAAGTGCGTCGGCTGCATCGGCCCACCAGAAGGCTGTTTTGGGCCCGGCGTCAGCTCTGGCAGGTGCGGGGGTGTGTGCATGAGTGTGTGAGTGAGTGAGTGCTTGAGTAAGTGCGTGAGCGTGTGCGCGCGGGCACAGGCATGCATGTGTCACTGTGTGTGCAGGTATGTGTACAATTTTCCATGCTTTTCTGTCTGTTTCCGTGGCCATGCATGCCCATCTGTCTGTATAAAATCCAGGATCTTACTAACCAACTGGCACTCAATGTGCAAAGCCATACCTCATACACAAACTCCCCACCCCCGGCCCATCCCACCACCCCCGCCAGGTGTGCACATCCTATTGGCCGAGGACGTGGCGATGCTGCAGCGGGTGGCGGTGCTGATGCTGAAGAAGATGGGCGCGACGGTGGTGGCGGTGAGCAACGGTCAGGAGGCGTTGGATGCGGTGACAAGGCAGATTCGAGGGGAGGTGGACGGGGGAGAGGCGTTTGACCTCGTGCTTATGGACTGCCAGGTGCGTGTGTGTTGGGGGGAGGTCGTAGGAGGAGAAGGGAGGGTCAGAGGGACTGCTGGACTGCCAGAGAGAGGAGGGGGGGAGGGAGGGGGAGAAGGGTGGGGATAGAGGGACTGCCAGAGGCGTTTGAACTTTGACCACGTTCTCATTGACTGCCAAATGCGTGGAGACTGGGAGAGATAGGGCAGGCACTTTGGGGGGAAGGGAGGGGGGATATGGACTGCCTGATGTGTGTGGGTGGGTGGGGGGTGGGTGGGAAGGAGAGAGAAAAGAGGATCGGATAGAAGGGGAGTGATGGGAAGGGAAAGGAGGCAATTGTTGGTGGCAGTAATGATGGTGGTGGAAGGATGTGAGAAGTGGCAGGTGGTGAATGTTTCTGGCTGGAAAGGGTTAGGGCGTGGAAAATCGCCAAAAAACTCAATTCGGCCAGATGGCCGTTGCGAAAGTAACCAGTTACCGAGCTTCGCAAATTTTGACCATGCAATTTGTTTGGTTGCGGAACCGTCAGCGGAGCTCGTGAAAGGGTTCGTCCAATTCGGCCACCTGGCCGAATTGAGTGTCCGGGCGATTTTCCATGCCCTTACCTTTCATTCCTGGTCGGGTCGTGTGCGTCGCTGTGTGTGTGCTCGTGGACATCACACCCCCTCTGCACCTTCCTCATCCACCTTTCTAGGTATGTGCTCCTGGGCATCACACCCATAACCACCTGCCGCCAACCTGCCACCACCCACCTGCCCCCACTTCCCCCCCACCCCACCGCAGATGCCTGTGTTGGACGGGTACGCAGCAACGCGGGCTATCAGAGAGGTGGAGAGGGGTGCAGAGGTGCACATTCCGGTGGTGGCGCTGACAGCCAATGCCATGGCAGGGGACCATCACAAGTGCCTCGATGCCGGCATGGATGGGTACCTCACTAAACCTATAGACAGCAAGCTACTAACCGAAACAGTGAAGAAGCTCTTAGGGGATCGGAGGAAGCACAAGTGAGAACTGTACTGGGGAAGCTGGAGTGGTTGAATCGGGAGTGCTTGTATTGTTGTACCGGTACTGTATGTATGTGCTCCTGTGTGTATAAATTATTGCTGTGTGGCTGTGTGCACTCAGGTAAGGGTTACTGATACTTACAACCTATTTGCTGATGATGGGTATAGCTCATTTCTAGGTCAGAATTCTTCATGCTGTAGAAAACCCTCTGAACCAACTACAGTAGTTTGTACCATATTCCAGCTCACAGCAATTTTGGGATGGATGGTTGGTGGGTGCACATAGATTTAGAGGCAATGCAAACAGTCATCACTGGAGATATACCACATATATAAGAGCAAAAACAAAATCAATCAAAGGCGAAAGGGTGCAATCATCTCAATCGTATTTGCCCAATGGGCCTAATGGTGGTCACCAGAGGCAGGTCAGACTCAGTTCACTTTCAGTTCAGTGTAAGCAAGCTGTGGAAAAATATGCTCTGAACCTCAATCCACCAGTCTGATCAGAGATCCCTGAACTGAAAAACGAACTAGGCGTGACCCACCCTATTTCAGTAAATAAGTTCCTCATACCAGAACCATCGCCCAAGCAGGATTCACAGCTGGAGATTTCACTCACTGCTTCACCCTCACAAAGCGATCCTCCGCCAATCGGGACTCGCTCCTTGGAGTTACCGCAGGCCGCTTCTTCCCATTCCTCGTCATTGACGGAAACCGCCACAGTCCCACACCCGGCGAAAATGCTTTAGGTGTCGCAAACGGGTAACCAGAGCCACCCTTCGGCGTAGCTCCCTTGGGCGTAAATCCCATGGGCGTGAACGCCTTAGGTGTGAATCCCTTACCGAAGGATAGCCCCCTAGGAGTCAACGCGCTGAACATGTCAGAAAACATGTCTTTAAAACCCCCGTCCCCATTTGGTGATCCGCTCTTTCCTTTACCCTCTCCGTGAATCCCGGCTCCCGACTTTTCTGCAGAGCTTTTGTCTGCAGGCGAGCCGTTTTCGGAACTGACATGTGGCGTGAAGATATCAGCCGAGTCTAGAACTTTGTGCATCCACGTGTAGCCGTGTCGTTGGCTAGGATGCTCCGGGACCTTGATGGTGACGTCATCATCCCCTTGCAGATACATAGGCTGCTCCAGATCCGCCGCCGAGAATCCCGAGGCGAGTGATGGCGTGGCGACAGCAGCAGCGGCCGCGCCGCCAATGGCGCCGCCAGTTGCGCCGCCATTTACGCCAGTATTTACGCCAGCATTTGGGCCGACAGTGTCAGTGGAAACCATTCGAGGACTGCGAGGAACTTTCCAGGTTCCCGCAGCTGCCGGAGCGCACTGAGACTCAGCCATGCTTATGTTCTCATAGCTCGCCGACGTTAACTTCTCGAACGCCATGCTGCTGTTACCGTTGCAAGCACCAGGTAGGTCCGTGGTGCTGCCGTGCTGCGACTGGAATCCCCCGAATTGCCCGCTCCCCTCCGCATCCATCGCGCCCGCGCCGTTCCCCGAGACGAACCTTCCCGAATCCTCCACCGAAGAGTCGACGAAAGCCTCCGATACAAGCTGCACCGATGCAGTCACGTCGTCGCTTCCAGATTTGTCGGACCGATCCCCGTCGTCGATTATAATCGCGTCCATCATCGTGTTTAGCAGCAAGCGCTCCTCGTCATCAGCACATCCGTGATTATCACCACCGGTCGTGCCACTCTCAACCTCGTCTTTCGCGAGAAGAAGATCGACGAACCGCTCCGCGTCGCCGCCACCCATCGCCGCGGCAGAAGCCGCCGCGCCTGGTGCAGACATTTTCTTCGCTTGAATCACACTGTTAACAGTATCGTAATCGTCCGTCACGATTTGTCCCTTCGCCATAGTCACATGCTCCGCGAAGGCGCCGAGCGTCAGCGACGGTGCGGGCGACATCGGTCGTGAGACCGTCGCGGCGCTCACGTTCGGCGAAGCCGGCGCGAATGACGGCGGGTTACGCGGCGCGTTTGGCGGGGCGACGTTGCCCTTGATGAAGACACGGCACAACACCAACGCCGCGAGGTCGCTTCCGGTTTCCACCTCTAGCCGATACTCGTCCATAATCCAGTCCGTCTTAGATCCCTTGTGGTCGCTCGGTCCAGATTTCGAGTAGTACACTAATTTCTTCTTCATTCCCGTTACGCCGCCGTCTGAAGGGGCCTTTTGGCCGTTGTTGCTGCTGCTCTTACTCCCACCGAGGCGCACCGCGTGGTCGTTTCCCGTGGATTTCCAGAACCCGACGACCGTCTCGCCGCATTTCACGGAGCGTTCTTTCTTCGAGCCGTGCTGCGACGGGCGGTAGAAGAAGAACCATTCGCCGTCGAAGCACGCGTCGGAAGGCAGGCTGCTCGGGTCGCACCGCAAAACGTTAACCTCGGGCAGCTGAAGGAGTGGACGCGCAGCGTAAGCTTGCCCGGATGTGCGGTTTAGGAGGTAAGAGAAAACGAGTTCTTCTTCCGACGGCCGAAAACGGTAACCGACTGGGAGGGAGTGTAACAGCGGTGAAGCTGCCATTCTCACACCGAGGTTGGGATCGACACAATCTGTTCAGAATGCCCCAACTACGACTTAGTACCACACTGCAACGTGAGCAGCGTTTAGTGCACGCGAGAATTATACGGTTTTCAAAAACTCAACGTTGAGTGCGGAGATGACGTAAGTTGAATGGAATCTGTGGATAGGGGAGCAGGCACGTTGAATCAGTTGTGTAGGCGCGTTTGCTCCTGCTTTTAGCTATCACAAGAGGCAGCAGGCGTGGTTGACACTCGTTAGAGGCAGCTCTCATCTCCTCTCGTGCAGGGAAGAGTGGGTAAAGTAGAAGTGGGGAAGAAGGAGCCATGGTGATGGTGGTGCAGTCCGCTTCAGGTCACCCGCAGGAGCTAGGAAAGGGGAACTTGTGTGGTGCTTGTGCCCCTGGCTGGCTGGCTTCGGTTCGGACCGAGGCCCGAGGGGCTTGTGTGGTGTAGTCATGCAGGGCAGGGCTTGTGCCGAGCTGGGCAGGGCTGGTAGGGAGAACCCCGCATTCCTGGTGGTGCTACAAAACAAGCAGCAGACACGTGGTCCGAATACCGAACCAAAATGCGGCAGGGCCAAGGTAAGGAGGAGCCTAGATTTGTGTGGAGGGAGCTAGTGAGCAGCCCACAAGTGGACTACAGCAGGGGACTACCCTCCGCAAACATGCGGTTTATGTTCGAGAGACGGCTGACAGAGCGGCGGGTGTGGGCGTGGGGAGGGGAGAAACGGCGGGATGAAGCCCAGGGGGGAGAGAGATAATACTGTACAGTACTGGCTGACGAATCCAATGTCGGAAAGGAACAAGATTCATTGACTGTGAATCGTCAGCTGTCTGATTGAGGCTTCACAATTGGCGTGCTCTTATTCGAGGATGTGGTGTGTGGAACCAGCGTGCAGGGTGGGCTGTCTCGGGGCGTGTTCTTAGATGGTGTCTAGCTTCGGGCCAAGCTGCTGACACGAGGTGAAATTGACGGGCATGAGGGAATTTTTCGACTTGTGTCAGACGTTCCTAGAGGGGTCTGACACAAGGCAACTTGACCCGAAGCTAGACACCAGCCAAGAACGCACCCTCATGCTGACCAAAATCAATTAGATCGCCTTCCTGGGCTGTCCGAAGTTCGAAGTTCCGACAGCGAAAGTGCACTCGGCACGTGCAGGTGAGTACAAGTCATTGTGATGAGGTGGAAGGCAACGAATCTGGACATCGAGTGAGTTCACAGACCCTGAACGTGCGAAGACCCCCCACGATGAGACCATTTGACGTGTGGCGAGAATCTGTTGAGGGTTTCGGGTTGCGAACGCTGACTGTAAATTGAGTCGCGCATGCAAATCTGATTGGGCGTTAGGTTTCGCATACTCCTAACGATCACAAACATCAGAATCGGCTTGCACATGGGGTAGACGTGGAAGCTGCCAGCGTGGACAAAAAAATCTGCACTTTTGGGGCTGTCCCAGTCCAGACATCGCAGGAAGGCGACCTTACTCTACTGTATGGATGACATGGAATTCCGGCCAGCTTACGCATTTAGGGTGTTGGAAATATGGAAGTGAGTAAGGAAATTCCCTTATCCTTACGTCCCTGCTCAACGCGTACATCACTGTAGCACCTCAGTCAACACCGTTACCACTCGCGACCATCGCATCATTCATCATCCCGCCATTTTCGCACATCGCATCCCGACCTCACGGCTCGGCTGGTAACCCGCGCTCCGGGCCTACGCTTCGACACTTTCCCAACCTCAGTCCCAGGCTCGTCGCGCGACCATTACCGTTACCACTGTAGTTCGCTATATATTGTTCGCTCATGCCTTCGCTCATTGTACTCTTGCTTCGATAGTGCAATTCTCGTTCGTTCACTCAATTGCACTCGTAACACTTGGTATTCAGAGCCTACGATCTCATCTCGGACCGCATCCACACCTTCGCTTCCCACTATCTCAATTTTTGGGGGGGGTAGACGTCTCTCAGCGATACAGCACCGCCGCTCGTAGTGCTCTCTCGCAAGCACGCACGGCCACGACCGAGGCTCTCGCTGAGCTTGCCCGACACCCCCGCCATGGCCGATTTCAAGCTCGCCACGATGACGCAGGAGCAACTCGATCGTCTCGTGCGTCAATTGGAGGACTCGGCGCTCGAAATCGCGACTCTCACGGCGGAACTTGACTCTGCCCGTCAACAGTCAACGGTGAACATACCGACGACATCAAATGCACCAACCAATGCATCTGCACATTCGGATGAGCCAATTGTCATCTCGTGCGGCACACCAACACAACACGACAGCACGGGACAACGCTCAGGCGCAGCCAGTGAAGGCGTCGCCCAGCCGATGCCCGGCATGGGAGGGAACAGGAGCGCGCCAAGCCCACGAAAGCCCCGAGAAGCCCGTCGGCACGTGGAGTTTGCGGCGACATGTGGCGAAAACGCCATAATGGCCCCAATGCCACTTAAGCCGCAACGCCCGCCCTGCTTCGACCCAAGCCAACGCGGCGGTCCGACAGTTCAATCGTGGGTCTTCACGATGAACGTTTTCTTCGACGCCAATTACGTCGAGTCGGACGCCGCCAAGATCCGGTATGCGGTTTCACTGCTAAGGGGCCCCGCCATGGACTGGTGGCGCGTCATCGTAACGTCGCCACGCGCCTACGAGCCACCGTCGCACAAGGAAGGGCCCTCGGGTCCAGCTGTCACATGGAGTTCGTTCTGCGAAACCGCCCAATACAGCACGTGGGATGCGTGGTGCGCAGGGCTTCGGGCGCGCTTTGAGCCAATCGCGGCTTCGATTTTGGCGCGTCAGAAACTGCGCACTTGGCGCCAGCTCGGGTCAGTTCAAGACTATACTAGTGGTTTTCTCGCACTTTGCGAACGGGTCGGCTACATGCACGAGGCGAAGCGGGTGGACCGTTACGTCGGAGGGCTGAAGCCGGACATCTCGCACGAGATAATGCTACGCGGACTCTCTAACTTCAACGAGATTCTCGCGCTCGCCGAGAAGATCGACATCCTACGCCGACCGAGACCGGGGTCCTATTACGGACATCGTCCTCGGGGACCGACCGAGCACGCCACTGTACATGCCGTTGCAACGAATGCAGGTGCCGCACCGTTTAAGGGCGCTGCTTTGCTTGCAACAGGCCGGGCCATCGCAAGAGCGAATGCCCAGAGGAGCTGAGGCGTCGAGGAGCAGAGAAGGGGAGGGAGTCTCATTGGCAGGGAGACGCCAGCAGTCAGTAGAAGTTGGGCCAACTACTGGCGAGACTGCCTGCTCGCCCAACCACACCGACCCTCACCGAGTCACAGTACCGATTCACGCCATCGATCGGGCTCGGATGAATAAGGAGGGTACAGCGACGGATTGCCCGGTACTGATCTACGGGAAAATACAGGGAGCAGCAGTGAAGATTTTCATTGACGGAGGAGCAAGTCACAGCTTAGTTAATACCGCAACCGCACGGAAGTTACAGTTAACACTTAACCGATGCTTACCTGAGATAGATGCACGCTTAGTCGACGGCACGCCCCTGGCCATACGGGAAAAGGTGGAGCGAGTAAAAGTCCGCTGCGGGGGGAACTTCGGGTTGTCAGATTTATATGACATAGTTGCTGTAGGCTTTAGTGGGGTAGCACTTATGGGGTACAGGTTTCTAGGGTTGTATTTGTACCCAATCTTTCCTTAGTCATTTCATTCCTGTTCTTTCAACTTCACATGGTATAGAGCAGGTTCCCCTGTGGGAACTTTGCCTAGGGCCCACCACACACCTTTTTTTTCCTGCCCGAAGCGCACTCGTTCCGAGTCGCGCCTTGGGCTTCTCTCTCACCGAGCCGCCCTAGCGGCTGACCCTTCGATCGCGACCACGTCGCTCTTCACTCTTGCGGCCCCGCCGCCCTTACCTCGCGGCCCGCCGCCCCTTGATCGCGGCCCCGCCGCCTCCCTTGATCGCGGCCCCGTTGCCTCCCTTGATCGCGGCCCGCCGCCCCTTCATCGCGGCCCCGCCGCCTCCTTGATCGCGGCCCCGCCGCCCCTTGATCGCGGCCCCGCCGCCCCTTTCTAGCGGCCCCGCCGCCCTTTCCACGCGGCCCCGCCGCCCTTCACCTACGCGGCCCTGCCGCCCTTTACCTCTGCGGCCCCGCCGCCTCAGCAACGCGGCCCCCGCCGCCCTTACCGTTGCGGCCCCGCCGCCCTTACCTGAGCGGCCCCGCCGCCCTTTACCTAAGCGGCCCCGCCGCCCTTGACCTACGCGGTCCCACGCCGCCCTCACCTACTCGGCCCAGCCGCCCCTACATCGCGGCCCCGCCGCCTCAGCAACGCGGCCTCGCCGCCCTCACCTGAGCGGCCCCGCCGCCCTCACCTACGCGCCCCCCTGCCGCCTCACCTTCGTGGCCCTGCCGCCCCAACCTACGCGGCCCCGCCGCCCTTACCTGAGCGGCCCCGCCGCCCTTACCTTCGCGGCCCCTGCCGCCCTCACCTACGCGGCCCTACCGCCGCTCTACCTGCGGCCTAGCACCAGCCGAGCCGCCTGGCCTCAGCCGCGCCGCCCAGCAGCAGCAGAGCCGCCCAGCAGCAGCCGAGCCGCCCAGCATCAGCCGAGCCGCCCAGCAGCAGCCAAGCCGCCCAGCAGCAGCCGAGCCGCCCAGCGAAAACCGAGCCGCCCAGCAGCAGCCGAGCCGCCCGGAGCCGCCGAGCCGTCCAGCAGCAGCCGAGCCGCCCGGGAGCAGCCGAGCCGCCCAGGAGCAGCCTAGCCGTCCTGCAGCCGTCGAGTCGCCCTGCTACCGGGCCGCTCGACCTGCCCTGTCTGGTGAGCACAGCAGTGCCCTACTGCTACTGCGTGCCCTTCCTCACTGCTTGCACTGCTAGTCTGTCGTCATGGCTACCCCCAGTGTCCTAGCTTTTGACGCTGAGGGCAGAGCCATTGACTTTGAGGTCTGGGTCGACGACCTGCACTTGTTTTTACAGTGCGATAGGGCGGACGGTCTTTCTCTCTTTGACCTCACCTCTGGCG